CCAATCTAACTTGCTCAACGAAACAAGTTCTTCAGAGTAACATGTAATTTCACATCTTTAAAATGGGATTTCTATTTGTTTTGTCAATTAACTATATGGGCTACTTTTGCACTTACTGACAACAATGTTTCGTTTTAATGAGAAATTTCTTCACATCAAAATTAAGGGGCTTTTTGTCATGCTGCACCATAGGTGGCCATGAAGTAATCAAGGTTATGTTACTAATATTAAAATAGTACTCGTACAAATTCAGCAAAAATTAACTTCTGAAAATTTTGGGCAATTTATGCATGCCTTTATATTTTTACGTTTTTGCTCAAAGGAATCTTTTTATTAATTGCTCAACAAGAAGTTTATTCAAACGATTTATCTAAAATTAGAAATCTTAATATTAAGAAAAAAATCTGACGCAAGCCTCTCTCTCTCTGTCTATCTATCTATCTATCTATATATATATATATATATATATATATATATATATCTTCCCATCCACCCATTGTCCAATGATGGGGACCAAATAATGCAGTAGAGGCAGACGCCATTACATCATAAACAGAAGCACGCAGTATAGAGTTTGGCCAATCACTTACCATATATAAATCAACCAAGAGTTTGCTTACCATATATAAATCAACCAAGGGTTTGCCATTCCAAAATGCTCCAATACATAAGCTTGTAAGCTTTTGCACTGAAGCTTCTAAAACCATTAAGAACCTCTGCTACTGCTCTCCACAATCTTAGAAAGAAGAGAAACCTCCATTCTGCTCATGCTTCTACTGAAAATGCAAGCGTTTGCACTGAAGCTTCTAAAACCAATAAGATCCTATGCTACTGCCCTTCACAATCTTAGAAAGAAGGGAAACCTTCAGTCTAAACTTGTAAAGGATGCTGCTCATAAACCATTCTTCCACTAAAGAGGGACATAAACACAAGAAGGCTAATTAGTTTTGTTAGAATTAAAGCTTTAGAGAACAACTTGCTAATCCCTTGGATCAGCCTTTTATTATATAGGCAATATTAAGAAAAGAGAATCAATTACACTAAGAAAAGAGAGTCAATTACAAATTACACATTAATGCTTCCAATTAATCTCTCCTAAACTGTTTCTCATGGAATATTCCCACAATATTCCAACTCACACATGCATACCCTAACACTCCCCCTCAAGCTAGAGTATATGTATCAGTTATGCTTAACTTGTTACATATATAGTCAACTCGAACTCTAGGAAGTGATTTCGCAAGAATATCAACTAATTGTTTCTCTGTGCGCACATGTTTCAATAATATTGTTCCACTCTGTAACTTGTTCCTAATGAAATGACAATTAACTATTATATACTCAAACTCTTGGAAGTGATTTTGTAAGAATATCGACTAATTGTTCCTCTGTGCGCATATGTTTCAATAATATTGTTCCACTCTATAACTTTTTCCTAATGAAATGACAATTAACTATTATATGCTTGGTTCTTTCATGACATATTGGAGTCGAAGCAATATGAATCGCCGACTGATTATCACACCATAACTCTGTAGGGGTTCAAACTGAAAGCCCAATTTTATCTAAAAATTGAACCATCTATAATACTTCTATTGTAGCCAAAGTCATGACTCTATACTCTGCTTCTGCGCTATACCTAGCAAATACTTGTTGCTTGTTGCTCTTCTAAGAGATTAGATTACTCCCAAAGAAGATAACATAACCAGATGTAGACTATTTAACTATAAGAGAGCCTACCTAATTTGCATCTACATAGACTTGAATATCCTCATATCACTAGTAGATCTGTAAAGTATTCCCTTTCTAGGATTTTTTAACAAATACCGAAGGATATGCATTGCTGTTTTCCAGTGAGTATCTCAAGAAGCTGCCATGAATTGACTTACTATACTCACTGAAAAAGATATATGAGGTCTCATTAATGTCAAGTAATTCAGTTTTCTTATTAGTCTCCTGTAAGGTGTAAGATCATCAAGTAAAGTGCCATATTCTAGAGAAAGTTGGATACCTAGATCCATCGGTGTGCCACTTGGCTTGGCATGGAATAAGCCTACATCTTTCAAAATATTTAGCACATATTTCTTTTGAGATATAAAGATTTCCTTTTTACACCTTGCCACTTCAATACCCAAAAAATATTTCAATTGACCAAAAATTTTGGTCTCAAATTAAGACTTAAGATTCATTTTAAGTTTATCAATCTTTGCACTATCATTGTCAGTGATGATGATATCATCTACATACACTCCCAACAACATAAGGTCAGAACTCTGTACCATATAAAATATTGAATGATCATTTTTACTTTATCACATGCTATACTGAACATGAACTACACTAAATTTATTGAACCACACGCATAGAGATTACTTCAGACCATACAGAGACCTATGCAAACCTCACACCTTCTTAAACTCTCATTGAGCAGTAAACGCTGGCGGTTGCTCTATATAAACCTTTTTAGTCAAGTCATTATGTAGGAAAGCATTTTTCACTTCCAACTAATGTAATGCCCATTTATGTGTAGTAGCAAAACTGATAAATAAGCAAATAGATATCATATTTGCCACTGGTGAAAAGGTATCAAATAATCTATTCCATATGTCTACGCATCTCCCCTTACTACTAGTCTTACCTTCAATCTAGCCAACGAACCATTAGGATTCAATTTTGTGTGGTGTAAACCCACTTGTACCTAATAACTTGCTTCCTTTTTGACAGGGAAACCGAGTCCTATCTATGGTTAGCCTATAGGGCCATCATCTCATCCTCTATAGCCTTACACTATCCTGAATCTGTAAAAACATCATGAAAAGTACATGGTACACTAATAGCATTAATTGTGGCAATACAAGTCTGCAATTGAGCAAAAAGTCCTTTGTATGAAAGTGTGTATAAAAGAAAATTTTTGCAAGTTCGTGTACATTTTCGTAAAGCAATCGGTACTATTTTAGCCATAATGTCTCGAGGTGGATCCATTGACAGAGAGACTATCTTAATAGATGAAGTTTTTATAGGCATATCTACATAGGTCCTTCTATTGTACGTACGACCAAATTAAGTATCTAGACATACCTCAAAAAGAGATGCATTGATCGGTAAAGTAGCATCGATACCCTTTCTAGACATGTGAATAACCTAAAAATATACGCTTAAGAAAATGTGGATCTAATTTAGTATGACTTGGACGAGTGTCACGAACAAAACATGTGCACCCAAACACCTTGAGAGAGATTGGAAATAAGGGATGATCAAAACACAATACTTGAAGAGGAAATTTTCCTTCAAAAATCGATGATGGCAAACAATTTATAAGATAACATGCTGTGAAGATAGCTTCACTCTAGAACACTTTAGATACCTTTATTTAAAACAAAAGAGCTCTAGCCACTTCCAATAAATGGTGATTATTTCTTTCAACAACCCATGTTGCTGTGGTATCTGTATACGAGGACTGATGAATAATATCTTTTGTTTTTAAGAATTGAACAAGCTTTATAGAAAAATACTCTCCCTCATTATCATTCCCTAAAATTTTGATAAATTTACTGAATTGATTCTTTATTTCTGCATGAAAGGTAATGAAGATAAAGAATAATTTGGAGTAGCTCCATAACAAAAATAACCAGCAAAGTTGTGAATAATCATCAACAAATGTCACAAAGTATCTATAACTAGATTTTGAAATAATTGGATAAAGCCCTCATATATCATAATAAATTATAGTAAAAAGAAACTTTTTTTTTTATTAAATCGAGATTGATAGAAAACTCTGTGCAATTTAGCAAACTTGCACGATTCATAATCAAGACTAAAATATGATAAATGAGGACACATAGCTCATGAAGTTGACATAGATGGATGACCAAAACAACAGTGAGACTTATAAGCTGATGACATTTTCCTAAGTATGTCAGTAACCCAAATTGTATCTTTTGTATGTCATCAAGCACATAAAGACCTAATTCAATCCTTCCTATACCAAATAGTCTACTTCATTAATAGATCCTAAAAACATAATAAGTAGGAAAAAAGAAAATACTAAAATTTAAATTCCTTATAATCTGACTAACTAAAAGTAAGTTAAAAGGATAAGAAAGGATATATATCATAAAATGTAAAGGTAATGTGGATATAAGTCAAGCCTTGCCACTTCCCACAATATCTATAGAGTTTCCATCAATAACCAAAATAGAATGTTTCCCTGTCATAGGAGTATATAAATAAAATTATCTGTAATAGCTGTTATGTGATCCGAAACTCTTGAATCAATCACCCAAGTCCTACAGAGGGTAGTCAAGCATGTAGTAGACTTACCTTGCATAAAAGTTACTGTCAGAGAGGAGATCAAAATCTAATTCTGAAACATCTAAATAAACCTATCATACTTTTCCTGAGATGATTAAACTTCTTTCTCCTCTTGCTGTTTGGGCTGAAGCACAGCATCGATCACATATGCTACTATTAGGTTAAATTGCCCCGAAGCTACGAATTAACATTCTGTAAATGACCATGTTGTCCATAATGATAATAAGACCATGGTTCTCTTCTACCACTTCCATATCCTTTACTTTATCCACCATGTCCTCCACGTGGTGCTTGCATTTCATGTTGTAGGGCCACAAAATATTATCCTATCTTTTTTGCGGAGGATCATGCTAAGTGACCCTGCTCAAGCACTTATAAGCATCCAGTAAAGAAATTAAATTTTTGCTTGCTAACATCTGAGTATTAGCATTGGCATACTCCTTTCTCAATCCTGCTGCTATATCATCTTTTTGCTCTTAGTTTGTTTTCAGATCGATAGAGAAGGACATGAGTTCATTAAATTCATTATATATCTCCTTGAACATAGCAAAATATTCCCTCAAGCTCCTATCAAACTGTTCCATTCTAGTCCATGCCCTAATAACATTTGAGATCCTCTATCAATTCTTAGAATTTGCATAAATAATTTTTATAGCCTCCTAAAGCTCCTTAGTTGTAAAGTATTGATTGAACATCACCTTGACTTATCATTCAATCAAGTTGAATAATTGTCCAAATACTCGATTGTCCTTCTACTCCTAAGTTGTATAATTCGAGCTTCTTTTTGCTAGCAGCTCATTTGTAAAAAATCGAGCCTTTCTAAGGTCTTGCAAGGTCACCAACATAGTCTTGCTCCATGACAAGTACTTGGAGCCATCAAATTTCTCATCCGACAATTGTAAGCTCGTAATAAACTCTTGAGTTATCACCTTCGATGCAGTTGCCTCTTCTTTTGCCATGGCCACAAAACCTTCTTCCTTCAAAACACAACTGATAATCCTTCAATCGAGTAACACAACCCTTAATCAACAACCAGGAAATCTGTTCCTATTTCTGCATCCATGTTATACACCGAGAAGAACTTGTATCTCTTTATTTATCATTCACGAATAGGTTGCAACCCTTTCTTCTTGCCGCTTTTGAGAATAAAAAGACAACCCCTTTTCAACTAATGAGAGACTGTTAAAGAGGAAGAAAAGTTTTAAGTACGCAGTTTTAAGACTGTAAGATCAAAATCTATAATAATGATGTCTAGGTGACGTAGAGGCCATTACAAAGGGGTTTGAGGAAAAAGAGAAAAAGGGAAACGACAGCAACTACGGTTATACTATTAGCTTTGACACCACATTAGAATTAAAGCTTTAGAGAACCACTTACTAATCTCTTGGATTAGCCTTTCATTATATAGATAATATTAAGGAAAGAGAATCTATTACAAATTACACATTAAGTTGTTTCCCATGAAATATTCTCATAATATTCCAACTCACACACATGCATACACTAACAAGTTTCAAGCTTCAAAACTAGTATAAACAAAATTAGCTCTATGCCTGCCACGCAATTGGAAAAGTTAAGACAACAACAAAATAGTTAACTTTTAATAGAAAGGTAAATTCAATGCTCATTGGAGTTTCTATCTCGCTAATGTACCATGTAAATGATATACAATTTTGATGTACTATAAGATAAAGAGCGTAACAAAACTAATAAAGTCAAAGTTTTTTTGTAACTTACTTGTTACATATTAATATACTATATATTCAATTTCACCAATAATCTCCACAAGAGCATGAACCACTAATAAAATGATGAAATCTGTTATTATCCCTAACAATTATCACTCTTCCTGTAACCCTTGAAATAAGTTTTATGGCCTCATGACAATCACCACATACACGAAGGTTTTTAACAACTCGAATAACATCTAATGGAGCGGTACTAATTAAACCAAATGCAATAGCCAGCTTCTCACTGTGACAACCAAGAAAATGCTCTTTTTCTTCCTCTTCTATGTCAAACAACACATAATCTGTCGTTGGAATATAACCAGCTGCTTTAAGTTCCTTGGCCAATTCACCAAGTTTTTTATAAATCATTTCTGACATGGGGTGAGACTTGTCACCCACAAGGAATTCATGAACAACCCCATTTACTTCAATCCAACTGTATCCAGGTACCTTTTGTACTCCTCTCTGATTCATGATTGACCTAATTTTTGCAGCATCATCCCATTTATGACTTGCTGAATATATGTTGGATAAGAGAACATAATTTCCTGAATTCCATGGTTCCAATTCAATGAGTTTCTTTAGTACATATTCTGCTAACTGAGTATCCTTGTGCAATTTACATCCACCCAACAAGCCTCCCCAAACAATAGAATTGGCCTCCATCGGCATATTGATGATCAACTGATGAGCTTCATCTAATAAACCTGCACGGGCTAGAAGATCCACCATGCATCCATAGTGCTCGATAGTAGGAGTCAAAGAAAAGACACGATTCATGCCATGGAAATACTGGCGACCATCATCAACCAGACCAACATGAGTACAGCCACAAAGCAAGCCCATGAAAGTGTTCTCATTAGGTAGAATACCTGATTTTTCCATTTGGCCGAAAAGACCAAATGCAGGTTTAACATGTCCATTCATCGCAAGCCCAGATATTGCAGCATTCCAAACTACTAGATCTTTCTCCTTCATACTGTTAAAGATTTCCCAAGCTTGAACTATGCTCCCACATTTTGCAAACATGTCAATCAATGCTGTACCTAATACAGGGTTAGACAAAAACTCATCTCTGTCCATTAACTTGCTAGCCCAATCCCCTAATTCTAGAGCTCCTAATCTGGCACAAGCAGAAAGAACTCCCACCATAGAATAACAATCGGGTGCCAACTTCTCTTTCTGCATTTGGAAGAAGAGGTCTAGTGCTTCTTTTGGGAGTCCATTAGATGCATAGCCTTGAACCATAGTGCTCCAAGTTACTATATCCTTCTCAGGCATCCCATCAAATGCACAACGCGCTTTCTCCATGTTTCCACACTTAGCATACATATCAACTAAAGATGTTGCAACAAACACATTTCTGCTCAATCCAAACTGTGTTATGCATCTCTCAATCCACTCTCCGCTATTCAAATCCCCTAAGTGAGCACAAGCTGAAAGAACCCTAACAATGCTGAAACTATCAGGCCTCAAACCCATATCTATCAACTTGCTAAACATATCAACAGCTTCCCTATACCGCCCAACATCAATGTATCCACTAATCATGGCTGTCCAAGAAATAACATTTTTCTCTGAAATATCATCAAACACATTAAGTGCATTATCCAAATATCCGCATTTCGCGTACAAACAGAGCAAACTGGTCTTAACAAAGACATCGCGATCAAAACCCAGTTTGACAACCTGGGCATGGATTCTAATACCCAACTGGAAATCTAAAAGCCTGGCGCAAGCCTTGAGAACAAAAGGAAAAGTGAAATTGTTGGGCAAGAAGCCTTGACCACACATTGAAGCATAACACTGGGTAGCACCGACAAATGAATCATTGGAAACAAGACCCTGAATCATTGTGTTCCAGAGAAAAACGTTGGGTTGTTTGGTTTGATTGAAGATAAGGCAAGAGTAGTTGGTTTGACCAAAATAAAAGGACGCTTTCAAGGTGAGGTTGAGAAGATAGTTGTGTTGGTGAAGGCCAAAGCGGAAAAGCGCAGCGTGAACATGCTTGAGGTGTTTGGTGGAGGTAATTCCTTCAAGGATGCATTTCTTGATTTCAATGACTTTTGAAAACGATGAAGTTGCTGGGTTCAGATTCGTTAACATAGCCATGGCTATGGCTATGGCTATGGCTATGGCTATGTCTATGGCTATGGCTATGGCTATGGCTATGGCTATGGCTATGGCTATGGCTATGGCTATGGCTATGTCTATGGCTATGGCTATTCCCTGTCACACTGATTCATTCCTGCCCAATGTAAATCAAGATAGGAACTTGAGTCATAAATTATGAGGGGATAATACTTGAGATTTTATTTTCAACTTTACTTAAACTATCTATAATTAAAGGGAAAAAAAACTAAATTAAAAAGTGTAAAAAAATGACATTATGATTGGGATCAAATTTGTTATTGTACTTTAGTTTAATAGTATTAAAATTTGTTATTATATTTTAATTTTATTTAATTTTTTACTAAATTTTCAATTTATATTATTTTTTAAACTAAAATAATGGTATTAAAATATTTTTTAGATAAATAGTTAATTTCCATCAATTTAATTTTTTTATTCACAAATCATTAAAATTAAAAGTATAAACAAACCATTTAATGAAATTAAATTACAATCAAAAAATTCAATATTAATTCTTAGTATATGACAATTTTGATTTTAATCAAAACTCAATATAATTTAATTTAAATCAACAAACCAAATATAACATGACTCATAATATAGTCGAGCCAAAAATCATATTAATATGACCTATATTTGACATTATATTTAATATTAAATCATGTTGGATTAGTTCGATGAATTATTTTATCATTCTAACCTTAGATTGTGTTAAAAATATAATTAATCTTTTTAATATGAACAAATGGTGCATATGAAAGTTTAATCCAACAATCCAATTGACCAAAGGCTTTAGACTAATCTCTTTACCATGGATTTGACGAGGAAGACTTTTTATGATAGAGCGGACCATGTATTAAAATTTATGATTGGTATATTTGTACATGGAGCAAACCATCTATTAGACTTTATGATTGATGTATTTATACTATGTATAACATTAAAATTTATATATTTATATTGTATTTTATATGAAAATTATGTCTTAATTCATGTTGACATAAAAAATAAAATATATTTTTTATTTTAATAAACTCATATATAATTATTACTAAAATTAAAATCATATTATTTTTATATTATATTATATTTTAAATTATCAAATCTACCATCATAGCTATCCCTATGTTTTACAAGCTATAAGAACAACCGTGGCTTTCTTAGCCTTTGACCATACTAACTTGGTCATTGATTATGCTAACATGGCATTGACTTGTTCACATGGCAATTAGGATTAATAAAATTAATTGTTAAATTATATAAAAGATCTTTATACTCATAAAAAATTTAAAATTTAATTCTTATACTTACATGAAATTTGTAATTTAATTTCTGTATTCATACAAAATTTAAAATTCAATCATTTTAATATAAAAAAATATTTTGAATTTTTTTTTATTTTTTCAAAATTTTAATTTTAAAAATATTTTAGTTCCTAAAATATATTAGTTTTTGTTATATATAATTAATTATTAATAATATCATATTAATAAATATTATTATTTATATTAATTAATTATAATACCAATAATTTAAATTAATATATCAAAGTTAATATTATTTTAATTAGTATAAATATATCATACTGAGAACTTTCAATTTTTTTGGTCTTCACAAAAAAAAATTATTTAAATAATTAAGTTGGAATCTAACTTAATAGTTTTTTTAACAAAACTATTAACATAAAATTAATATAGTAAAAAATATATTAAAATAAGTAAAAAATATTAAAAATAATAAAACTATAATTTATATAATTTATAACTAAAAATATCAAATATTTGTTGAAAATAATTTTTTAAAATAATTAAAATAGTTAGTCTTACTAAAGACTATTAAGTTAGATTCAAACTTAATTATTTAAATAAGTTTTTTTTTTTTGTGAAGATCAAAAGAATTGAAAATTCTCATTATGATATATTTATACTAATTAAAATAAAATTAACTTTGATATATTCATTTAAATTATTAATATTATAATTGATTAATATAAATGATAATAATGTTATTAATATGATATTAGTAATAAGTAATTATATATAATAAAAACTAATATATTAGAGGAACTAAAATATTTTTAAAATTTAAAATTTTGAAAAAACTAAAAAAAAATTTAAAATATTTTTTATATTAGAGCAATTAAATTTTAAATTTCGTATGAGTGTATTAATTAAATTTCAATTTTTATGCAAGTATAAAGACTAAATTTTAAATTTTGTATGAGTATAAAGACCATTGTATAATTTAATAATTGATTTCATCAATCTCAATTGTCATGTTAGCATGGTCAATGGTCTCGTCAACTATTTAATAGAAATCAAGTAACACTGTTATTAATTGGACCAACACTGTTAAATTAAACTAGTATGAATATCAAATTTTTGTAAATTATTGCATAAGGACTAAAGTTTAAATTTTATATAAGTAGAGGAATTAATTGTATAATTTAACCTTTAATTTATTATGCAAATGTTTTAGTATGAATATTAAAAAGGATTAAAGTTATGATACCTAAATTATAATAAAATATTTAAAGTGATATTTAATTTTTTAAAAAATTAATGTGATATTTTAATCATAAATTTATCAATAAATGTGGTACTCACTTATAATGTGAGTAATTTAAAATAATGATACATGACGGACAAGCAGTTTTTTAAGTATCATATTAATTAACAGATACATAATTTAGTTATCGTATTAAAAATTTTTAAATTTTAAGTATTATATTAAATATTTTATTATAGTTTAGAGATCATTCATGAGATTAATTCATATTAAAAACAAGGTTAAAACATTTAAAAATTTCTTGAATTATTTTACTTTTATTAAATAAGTCATTGTACTTTTAGTTTATCTCAATAAATCATTATTCTTTGATTTGTATAAAAAAGTCTTTATTTTAAATAAAAAATTAGTTTATGTTAAGAGTTTATTTAAGTATAAATTGAAAATTAAAGATTTATTTAGATACAAAATTAAAATTTAAAAATTTATCTAGGTGCAATGTAAAATTCAAAAAATTTATTTAGGTATAACAAAAATATAGATTAATATATATAAAATGATAAAATTTAAGAATTTTTTTTATTATTTATCTTTAAAACAAACTTTGAAACATTTTTGGAGACTACTGTTGAGGTTGCTTGGAAATGTGAAATCGCCTCCTACCAGGTGAGATTTGTCTTCATTATCATGTGGGTATATTTTAGAAAAAAAAAAGCAAACAAGTCAGTTTACAATAAAATATTCAATAAATTCCTTTTCATTTACATTTCCTTTATAATTATTAAAAAATGACTAATAGAAGTCATGCCTTTAATATGCATGCCAAACTATTAAAAATGGAAGAAATCATGACTTTAGGTCATTTTTTTCTTGTCGGCAAATTTTTGTCTGTTCGTTGGTCTGAATTGATTGAGCAAAAATGTTATTTAGGATTGTGATGGCTGCCTCTTGGAAAATCAAATGTAATATCCAAACCGTTGTAAATATTAAATTGCAAAGTTAAGAGACTTATAGCCAGTCATGAATGAGACACTATTAGAATTTGAAATCAATTTATATTAGATCTAATAATTTATTTATTTTTATTTATTTATTTTATATCAAATATATAAAAAAATATAATAATTATTGAATCAAAATTTATATCGACATATCAAAAATAATTTTTTTTTTTATTTTTATCAAATTTATATATAATTTTTATTAAAATTTTAAATTATTTTCATAATTTTTTTTATGTCAGTTTTATATAATATCATTATTTTATATTTAAAATTATTAGATTTAATTTATCTCTCGTAATGAACAAATTTGGAAAGAAAATTTTGGTGGCTCCTTGATGAATATAATTTCTCTACCTAATTCAACAAAGTTAAAAGGAAATTTTATTTTTTATACCAGAAACCATTTTGCCAAAATGGGTGTTAGAAATTAGATGTATCAGAAATAAAAAAAAAGTCAATTGGAATGAAAATGTGGACATGGCTGAATGTTCCGTGTGGTTGGCTCCTTCCAGGCCCTGGAATTGTATTTTACACATACCTACGGGGAAGAACTCGTCAAATCTTCCGGAATATTTATAGAGAAAAGAAGAAAAAGAAGCGCCCCACAATTTGACCAAACTCTTTTGTCTCATTCAAAACTAAGAAATTCCAATGAGATTTGTGTGCTGAGGCACAATTCATGTACCACATAGTATTTTAACAATGATAGATATTTCCATTTCTATATTCATATTTGTTTATGTCATATTTAAAAAAAAATTATTATATTTTAATTTAGTTTGCTATATCAAATACAAAGTATAAAATATATTTATATAATTTTTACTATTTTTTTCCTACGATGTCATCGCATATAAAATTGTGGACTAAACAATCCTACGGGTGACACGTGCTTGACTTACTGTTATTGCAAAACATCATAGAAATCCACCAAGCTCTCATTTATAAGCTAATGTTCTGCTTCCAAAATTTTTTGTTGTGAGGGTTCTTCAGGAATATTTAGAAGAAACAGAAGGCAGGGAAAGGCATAAACATGGGTAGGAAATTAGATGCTTTGCTTGGAAGAAACTTCAACACCTCCAAGTTTAAAACTCTCGCCAAACTTGCCATCTCTAGGATTAGTATCCTGAAGAACCAGCATCAAGTCCGGTATTCCCATGCCAGGTCTGATGTGATTGAACTCCTCAACCTTGGTCACCATGAACGAGCCCTTCTTCGGGTAATTTTTTCACCTCTTTCTTTCCCTTAATTTGGTTGGATTGTTCTCTTAATTTCTTGGGAAATTAAAGTTGAATCTGGTGGGGCATTTTTGGACAGGTAGAGCATGTGATCAGAGGACAAAATATGGTGGATGCATTCACCATAATGGAAAGCTACTGTCATCTGTTGATAGAGAGAGTCACGCTCATTCAAAAGAACAAGTAAGATTGATTAAACTATTGGTTATAGATTTAATGGATATATTTTCAAACAATGGACATTTTTAATTTTGCCTCTTTCTACAATAGGGAATGTCCTGATGAACTGAAGGAGGCAACATCAAGCTTGATGTTTGCATCATCAAGATGTGGAGAATTCCCAGAGCTTCTTCACATTCGTGGGGTCGTATCATCGACTTTTGGGAAAGAATTTGTTGCTCGTGCTGTTGAATTGCGCAACAATTGCAGTGTGCATCCTAATGTAAGGATAGTTCAGTCAGTGCTTGAAATTAAAAGACCTTTTTAGGAACCCTGAAGCTTAGCTCATTTGGTTGAGTCTAACAGGTTTGGGATTCAAATCCCAACATCTGTAAACCCTTCTTATATCTGGGACTGTGGCCGACCCTTTGTTAAAAAAACGACTTTATTAGAACGTACAGTTATCCTTACAGTTAACTGCCTCTGGCTGTTTGACAGATAATACAGAAGCTTTCGACACAACGACCAAGCTTGGAAAACAAATTGAAAATGCTTAAGGAGATTGCCTTCGAGAGGGGTATCACCTTGCATTTGGAGGCAGTGGTTGTAGAGGTGAGAAACTTGCAATCGAATGAAAAACAACAATCACCAACAAACAAAAGGTTTAAAACTTGATTCTGAAATGACAATATTTGATGGTTGTAGGAGAAACTGGATGTCAATGAGAAGCAGGATGAACACGTTGCTGATAAATCTGCAAAACTGGATGATCCTGAGCACAAAGATACAGCCAATGATTTGCCAATAGCAATAAACCTAGATGAAAATTTGTCTGAGTCAATAAAAGCAAGGAAAAAGTACAGAGATGTAGCTGATGCTGCTCTAGAGGCTTTTGAATCAGCAGCTTATGCAGCAGCAGCTGCAAGAGCCGCGGTTGAACTCTCAAGAGCTGAATCCCAAGACTTTGATCCAGATGACGAAAATGGTTCGAGCCATAAAAAAGGAGAATTTGATGATTCTGATGCAATACCTGATTTTTCAAAGCCAGGACATGCAGCTTCAGAGGGAATTGATTACTCAAGGAATGCCTTGGGATTTGAAAAGATCCCTCCCATTGACAACTTTACCTCAGAATCAGAAGATGAAGGCATGGCAAGGACATTTTCTACTTGTAGTTCAGATTCTGATGTATCCATTTCAGCTGAGAAGAAACTGTCTTTGGATATATTGAGACAGAATCAAGCTTTGGGTGATGAATTAGCCATTGACATAGTTAATACTGGTAGGAAGAAGGAAAAGGAGGAGACACAATGGCCAAAGCCCCATGATCACTTGAGCTCTGATATTGGTTTGAGCTTAACTACAACCGAAGACCAATACATTGGACAGAATGAAGTAATCAATGAGGACGAAAGCAAGTTTGCCTATCAATCGTCAAAGCTTTCAAACACTCAGAGCCTAAATTTTGAACAGCAATTACATGCACAGCATTCACATCTAAACAAAAAGTGGGTGTCAATGAGGACTAGAAGACAGCATAGGATTTGATTTTTTTTAATTAGTTGTGAAATTTTGCTTCTTCATGCTAATCTCTTTATTTTTTTCCCAAATAAATTTTTTATGGTATTAAATTTTAATTAAATTATTATTTCATACTGGAAATAAATATCAAAGAATTTGGATAATTAGTTGTTATTGTTGTGCTTTTTCTTTTTTAAAATGACTATATAATTTCTTTTACATTCATAATTAAAAAGTAAAAAAAAAATTCATCTAAATAATAAATTTTGCAAATGTATTGTATACAGTTCTTAATGCCTATGACGCCACATGTCATTTTCTTATTTCTTTTTTGTTTTTTCTTTTAAAAGATTTTATTTTTCATGTGTGAGATTCACTTATATTAAACTTTTTTTTTGTCTTTTTTTATCCTTTTTAACTTTTTCTTTTTAAAAAAATTAATAAACATTTTATAATTATAAAAAATATATTTTAAAGATTTTATTTTTTTGTGTGGATCCACTTATATTAAACTTTCTTGTTTTGCGTTTTTTTTACTGGTTTTACCTTTTTCCATTTTTAAAAAATATTAAAAAATATATATTTTTAAAGAAAATTTTCATGTGTAGAATTCACTTATATCAATTTTTTTACCTTTATAAAATTTTCTCTTTTTAAAAAATATTTAATAAAGATTTTCTTGAAATTTTAAAAAATTATAAAAAATATTTTTATGTGTGGAACCTATTTATACCAAAATTTCTTTGTTGCTTTTGCTTTTTTATTTTTTTAATGTTTTCCTTTTTAAAAAAATTAATAAATATTTTCTAAAATTTAAAAAAAAATATTTTTAAAGATTTTATTTTACATGCGGAATCACTTATATCAATTTTCTTTTTTTTGAACTTTTTCATCTTTTTCTTTTCTTAGAAAATACTTAATAATATTTTTAAATTATAAAAAAATATTTTTACAGATTTTATTTTTCATGTGTAGAACCTATTTATATCAATTTTTTTTTTTTTGCTTTTCGTTTTTAATTTTCAACTTTTTATTTTTTTGAAAAAATATTTAATAAAAATTTTCTTTAAAATTTATTTTTTAAACCAACTTGATACTAATGGTATGTCACCCTTTTTTTTTTCTATTTTTTTCTTTTTATATATTTAATAATTTTTTTTAATTTTATTTTTTAGTCCCACTTGATATTAAAATTATTATGCATGTTAAGTCCTTTTTTTTTTTTTTTTTCGCTTTTGCTTTTTATTATTTTTTTGCTATCTATTTTTCTTTTTTTTATATATATATATTCAATATTTTAAAAAAATAATATTAAAATTTCTTTAATCTTAGTCCATCTCTTATATAAATTTAATTCATTTTAATTTTTTTTACACTTATTAGAAGTCTTAGCGTACCATCTTATCTTTCTTTTTTTATTTTTTCTTTTAACTTTTTATAGATTTTTTATTTTTTGTTTTATATAAATTTTGTAATAAAAACAATATAAGTGTCCGTGTGACACCCCAATTTGTTTTTCCTTTTTAACTTTTTTATTAAATAAATTTTATAATAAAATGAGCTTATTCATTGCAACGGTGGAGCTACTTATCCAATAAATCCACACTCAATTGGGGTGTCAACGAAATATCTCAATGAGCTTTCTTTTCTTTTCTTTTTCCTTTCTCATTTTTTGATTCTTATTTTTTTCTCAATTGTTTCCTTTTCTATTTTTTTCTCTTTAATAAAAATAATTTTATAAAAATATATATATGAATATGTTAGTATCCAATTTAAGTCTTTTTACCTTTGGTTTCTTTTATGTGTTTTTTAATTAGATAAAATTTGCAATGTGAGATACCGATTGATAAAGATGTCAAAACAATTCATATTTTATGGATTTTGATCGATCTTAATATGATAAAGAAGTAATTTTTAAAGATCAAGATTTAATTATGAATTTTTGATAAAAAAAAAGGTGCGATTGGGGGTTATAAGAGTGTTTACAGTTCTTTGTTTTAACTTATTTTTAAGTGTATATAAAAATATATATTTTATTATTTATTTAGTTATATACATATATATAAATTATATTAATAAAGTAATTCTTTTAATCTTAATTTAAGTTTTTTTTTTTTTTTTTAAGTTCGATATTAGATGCCAATACAGCATCTTTTATTTGCATCCCCCCCTTTTTTCTTTAAACTCTTTTAGGTTTTTTTTGCAAAATTTTTTTGTTTACCCTTTTCCCACTTTTTACACTTTTTGTTTTTTTTTTTTAGATTAATTTTATGAGAAAAGTGGGTCAATTAAGGTTTACACATTTAATCCCCGTTTGTTTTAGCTTTTCTTTTATTTTTGAATTTGTTAAATTTTGCAATAAAAACAATGAATAGATAAAACAAAAAAAATTTTACTTACAATTAGATCAAACAATTCAAAATACAACACAAGTTAATAATTTAGTAAAAAATATGAGTTTAATATAAACAAAAAATATATTTTGTATATTTATATTGACATAATATAAATATATAAATTTGTACTATTTTACATAATATAAATATACGAATTATTAGATTTATTCATGACAACACATGAATACCTTTTTAGTACAATATAGATTGTAAATTATGTTGGTTCCTCATCTTATCTAAGTTTTGCCATTTTTACTGCCTTCTTTTTTATCTATTTTTATAATCTAACACTTTTTTGCTTTTTTTTTTTTTACTTTTGCACATGACAAAAAAAAAAAAAAAAGGAGAGACGATGATATGGAATTAAGATTAATGGAGAAAAGTGACAAAAGAAAGGAGGCGAAGAAGTTTAGAAGAAAGTTGGGTACACGTGTGCATCCAGCTTTTCCTTTCTTTCTTTCTTTTTTGTTTGTTTTTTTTTTTAATTATTATTTTTAGCTGTATTATAAATTTCATAAACTTTGGAGATCATGTGACAACAATTCAATTACCTTCTCTTTTTTTTTCCCTTCTTTCATTGGAGACAAACATTAGAAAAAAAAAAAAAATGTTTGTACCTAGAAATATGGAACTTTTGTATCGCTCTATAGTGGTTAGAGTGTTTCACAAAAAAAAAAATGTATGACGTGGTTTAGAGTGACTTAATACTCAATGCTTGATTAGAGGACATCACTAACAAAATGCATGTACCATGAGATATCTTGGTTTAGATAAATATATTTTAGAACTCAATAAATATTAATCAAAATATAAATTAACACTAAATTCAAACATGCTAAGAGGTATTTTGGATGTGTGGAGTAAAGTAGGCAGCGGTTAAAATTTTCTATGAAAACATGAATAAAACATATAAGCAATGCATCTCTAAAACATTGGAATTGATATTAAATATTAAAGAAACTAAAATATTCAGTTTAAGGGAAATAAAAATAAAAAAGGAAAGTCAAATAGCTATAAAGGTTATTGAAAAAACACTAATCTAAGGCAATATGAAAATTAAGATAAAAACATGCGAACACCTTAGTATCCTAACATTCCCAATAACCAAAATATGTGATTGAACTCCTCAACCTTGGTCACCATGAACGAGCCCTTCTTCGGGTAATTTTCACCTCTTTCTTTCCCTTAATTTGGTTGGATTGTTCTCTTAATTTCTTGGGAAATTAAAGTTGAATCTGGTGGGGCATTTTTGGACAGGTAGAGCATGTGATCAGAGGACAAAATATGGTGGATGCATTCACCATAATGGAAAGCTACTGTCATCTGTTGATAGAGAGAGTCACGCTCATTCAAAAGAACAAGTAAGATTGATTAAACTATTGGTTATAGATTTAATGGATATATTTTCAAACAATGGACTTTTTTAAATTTGCCTCTTTCTACAATAGGGAATGTCCTGATGAACTGAAGGAGGCAACATCAAGCTTGATGTTTGCATCATCAAGATGTGGAGAATTCCCAGAGCTTCTTCACATTCGTGGGGTCGTATCATCGACTTTTGGGAAAGAATTTGTTGCTCGTGCCGTTGAATTGCGCAACAATTGCAGTGTGTATCCTAATGTAAGGATAGTTCAGTCAATGCTTGAAATTAGAAGACCTTTTTAGGAACCCTGAAGCTTAGCTCTTTTGGTTGAGGCTAACAGGTTTGGGATTCAAATCCCAACATCTGTAAACCCTTCTTATATCTGGGACTGTGGCCGGCCCTTTGTTAAAAAAACGACTTTATTAGAACGTACAGTTATCCTTACAGTTAACTGCCTCTGGCTGTTTGAAAGATAATACAGAAGCTTTCGACACAACGACCAAGCTTGGAAAACAAATTGAAAGTGCTTAAGGAGATTGCCTTCGAGAGGGGTATCACCTTGCATTTGGAGGCAGTGGTTGTAGAGGTGAGAAACTTGCAATCGAATGAAAACAACAATCACCAACAAACAAAAGGTTTAAATTTTGATTCTGAAATGACAATATTTGATGGTTGTAGGAGAAACTGGATGTCAATGAGAAGCAGGATGAACGCGTTGCTGATAAATCTGCAAAACTGGATGATCCTGAGCACAAAGATACAGCCAATGATTTGCCAATAGCAATAAACCTAGATGAAAATTTGTGTGAGTCAATAAAAGCAAGGAAAAAGTACAGAGATGTAGCTGCAGCTGCTCTAGAGGCTTTTGAATCAGCAGCTTATGCAGCAGCAGCTGCAAGAGCAGCGGTTGAACTCTCAAGAGCTGAATCCCAAGACTTTGATCCAGATGACGAAATTGGTTCGAGCCATAAAAAAGGAGAATTTGATGATTCTGATGCAATACCTGATTTTTCAAAGCCAGGACATGCAGCTTCAGAGGGAATTGATTACTCAAAGAATGCCTTGGGATTTGAAAAGATCCATCCCATTGACAACTTTACCTCAGAATCAGAAGATGAAGGCATGGCAAGGACATTTTCTACTTGTAGTTCAGATTCTGATGTATCCATTTCAGCTGAGAAGAAACTGTCTTTGGATATATTGAGACAGAATCAAGCTTTGGGTGATGAATTAGCCATTGACATAGTTAATACTGGTAGGAAGAAGGAAAAGGAGGAGACACAATGGCCAAAGCCCCATGATCACTTGAGCTCTGATATTGGTTTGAGCTTAACTACAACCGAAGACCAATACATTGGACAGAATGAAGTAATCAATGAGGACGAAAGCAAGTTTGCCTATCAATCGTCAAAGCTTTCAAACACTCAGAGCCTAAATTTTGAACAGCAGTTACATGCACAGCATTCACATCTAAACAAAAAGTGGGTGTCAATGAGGACTAGAAGACAGCATAGGATTTGATTTTTTTTAATTAGTTGTGAAATTTTGCTTCTCCATGCTAATCTCTTTATTTTTTTCCCAAATAAATTTTTTATGGTATTAAATTTTAATTAAATTATTATTTCATACTGGAAATAAATATCAAAGAATTTGGATAATTAGTTGTTATTGTTGTGCTTTTTCTTTTTTTAAATGACTATATAATTTCTTTTACATTCATAATTAAAAAGTAAAAAAAAAAATTCATCTAAATAATAAATTTTGCAAATGTATTGTATGCAGTTCTTAATGCCTGTGACGCCACATGTCATTTTCTTATTTCTTTTTTGTTTTTTCTTTTAAAAGATTTAACAAATATTTTTAAAAAGATTTTATTTTTCATGTGTGAGATTCACTTATATTAAACTTTTTTTTTCTTTTTTATCCTTTTTAACTTTTCTTTTTTAAAAAATTAATAAACATTTTATAATTATAAAAAATATATTTTAAAGATTTTATTTTTTTGTGTGGATCCACTTATATTAAACTTTCTTGTTTTGCCTTTTTTTTACTGGTTTTACCTTTTTCTTTTTTAAAAAAAAATATTAAATAATATTTTTTTAAATATTAAAAAATATATATTTTGAAAGATTTTTTTCATGTGTGGAATTCACTTATATCAATTTTTTTACCTTTTTAAAATTTTCTCTTTTTAAAAAATATTTAATAAAGATTTTCTTGAAATTTTAAAAAATTATAAAAAATATTTTTATGTGTGGAATCTATTTATACCAAAATTTCTTTATTGCTTTTGCTTTTTTATTTTTTTTATTGTTTTCCTTTTTCTAAAAAACTTTAATAAATATTTTCTAAAATTTTTAAAAATATATTTTTAAAGATTTTAATTTTATGTGCGGAGCCACTTATATCAACTTTCTTTTTTTTTTTTTCTTTTTTTTACCCTTTTCATCTTTTTCTTTTTTTAGAAAATACTTAATAATATTTTTTAAATTATAAAAAATATTTTTACAGATTTTATTTTTCATGTGTAGAATCTACTTATATCAATTTTTTTTGCTTTTCCTTTTTAATTTTTAACTTTTTATTTTTTTGAAAAAATATTTAATAAAGAATTTCTTTAAATTTTATTTTTTAAACCAACTTGATACTAACGGTATGTCACTTTTTTCCCTTTTTCTATTTTTTCTTTTCTTTTTTATATTTAATATTTTTTTTAATTTTATTTTTTAGTCCCACTTGATATTAAAATTATGACACATGTTAAGTCATTTTCTTTTTTTTTTTTCGCTTTTGCCTTTTATTATTTTTGCTATCTATTTTTCTTTTTTATATATTCAATATTTTTAAAAAATAATATTAAATTTTCTTTAATATTAGTCCATCTATTATATAAATTTAATTAATTTTAATTTTTTTACACTTATTTGAAGTCTTAACGTATCATCTTATCTTTCTTTTTCATTTTTTTATTTTTTTCTTTTAACTTTTTATAGATTTTTTTATTTTTTTGTTTTATATAAATTTTGTAATAAAAATAATATAGGTGTCCACGTGAGACCCCAATTTGTTTTTCCCTTTTAATTTTTTTTATTAAATAAATTTTATAATAAAAGGAGTTGATTCATTGCAACGGGGAAACTATTCATCCAATAAATTCACACTTGTTCACATAATATCCTAATGAGCTTTCTTTTCTTTTTTTTTTTTTTATTTTTACTTTTTCCTCAATTGTTTCCTTTTCTATTTTTTTTCTCTTTAATAAAAATTTAAAAAAAAAACTATAGATATGTCCACATGGTATTCAATTTAAGTTTTTTTACCTTTGGTTTCTTTTATGTTTTTTTTAATTAGATAAATTTTGTAATATGAGATATAGATTGATAAAAATGTCAAAACAATTCATATTTTATGGATTTTGATCGATTTTAATATGATAAAGAAGTGATTTTTAAAGATCAAAATTTAATTAAGAATTTTTGAAAAAAAAAGGTGAGATCGAGTTATAAGAGTGTTTTACAGTGCTTTGTTCTTACCTATTTTTAAGTGTATATAAAAATATATATTTTATTATTTATTTAGTTATATACATATATATGCATTATATTAATAAAGTAATTCTTTTGATCATAATTAAATTTTTTTTTATTTTAAGTTCAATATTAGATGACAATATAGCATCTTCTATTTGCATTTTTTTTCTTTTTTTTTTCTTTTTTTAACTCTTTTAGGTTTTTTCTAAAATTTTTTTGTTTACCCTTTTCCCACTTTTTATGCTTTTTGTTTTTTTTTTAGATTAATTTTATGAGAAAAAGTGGGTCAATTAAGGTTTACACATTTAATCCTTGTTTGTTTTTGCTTTTCTTTCATTTTTTTAATTTGATAAATTTTACAATAAAAACAATGAATAGATAAAACAAAAAAAAATTACTTACAACTAGATCAAACAATTCAAAATATGACACAGGTTAATAATTTAGCAAAAATTATATATAAATTTAATATAAATAAAAAATATGTTTGTGTTTTTATATCGATATAATACGAATACATGAATTCTTATTATTTTATACAACATAAATACATGAATGATTAAATTTATATGTGACAACATGCGGGTACCTTTTTAGTATAATGTAGATTGTAAATTATATTGGTTCATCATCTTATCTAAGTGTTGCCCCTTTTACTGCCTTCTTTTTTTTTTTTTTTATCTATTTTTATAATCTAACACATTTTTTTCTTTTTCTTTTAAGAAACTAAAATATTCAGTTTAAGGGAAATAAAAATAAAAAAAGGAAAGTCAAATAGCCATAAAGGTTATTGAAAAGACACTAATATAAGACAATATGAAAATTAAGATAAAAACATGCGAACACCTTAGTATCCTAACATTCCCAATAACCAAAATATGTGAAAAAAAAAAAATGCAATCTAAAGCCCTATCAATAAAAAATTAACCATTTTAAATCCTAAACACTTTGGCTCCTCTCTTTTTTTTCAATGTTAAATGAAAAGTTATGTTGATGGTTAGATAAAAGATACAAATATAAATATAAAAAAAAATTAATGATTTAAACAATGTCTTGTCAAAATTGTAAAAAAAAAAAAACAAAAAAAAAGAATTTTTTACTGTAAAAAGTAACCATAGATATTTTATTAATTCTGATGTGGTTTTAAATCTAATCATTAACATGACTCTCCATTTAATATTGAAAAAGTAAAAGAGCCAAATCCCAAACATAAAGTCTCAAATAAATCCAATATTAATAATGTGCATATTTACAATAAATTGATCCCAACTTCCCAAGGAATACAATTCATGCTAGTATCATTTTAATGGTCAATAAATTCATTCCAATTTTGTAATCTGGCTTCATTACTTAGTTTTTTTTTTTTTTTAAAACGTTTTGCTATTTCCATGGAAAAACTTTAACCGAAGCAGCAAGAAAAATTGTGTTACTTGTCCACTTTGAATACCAACTGCTGACATGTATGGAACTTGGAACTATGCTTCTCTTCCGATGGACATCATCTGAAGCAGATTAGCACAGGTAGAAATAAACATTGACAAAAGGAAGTATTAAATATTACTGTAAGATCAAAATAGTTAATTGCATCATTTAGAATTGAAGCTTTATCCCGCTGAAATTTGGTGTACACGAAAACAAAGGCATGCGACTACCTGTGCAATTTTCTCTAGTTTTTTCTCAACAC